ATTGTTATATAAAATAAATTATTGTTAGCTATTGTTGCCCAATTGTGCTACTGGACACTAGATCTTATATACTCTGATGCAGGATTTTTCTCAGTTACTTTGTGAGCTGGAACCTCTGGCTGGCAACACCCCTGCCCATGCCTCACTTGGGAATGCTACCTGCTGCAGGAGGTGCCCCGCCCACTCAGCCTGTCCAGACCAAGATTGACTTGCACACCAACTCAGCCCGTGGCTGGGCCTGGTGTGCCCCAGTTCACCTGTGTTATAGCTTATACCCACATTTGGCGATTCCCAAGCTCTTGTTTTGCATCCAAGAAGAATGAGGATACACTGAAAATCGAAGAGTAAGGAGGGCAGAGAAGAATTTTATTGAGTGATGGAACACCTCTCAGCAGAGAGGGAATGCAGAGTTAGTCCCCCATCCCTGCAGTTCAATGATTTCTCTTCCTGTGTGGCTGAGTCTGGGGCTTTTATGGGCTCGGGATAGGGGAGTGCGTGCTGATTGGTTTATGAGTGTGCAAAGAACGGCTAAAGCAAAGGCACCACTGAAAGGTGGGCACAGCAGTGTAGAAAAGCAATTAGAAAAGGGTAGGCATATGTAAAATATGCGAAGTGTGGGGATCAGTCAGGGGAAAGCACATCAAATGGGAAGACAGGTACTCAGTCTAGTCCATGGATTTGATTTGTAGCTTGGCTTTCAAGCTTTAAACTGTCTCTGGCTTGGAGGTTGGGTTTCATGGGGACTTACCCCTATCTACCTAGGCATTTGTCTACCTCCTGCCACTGTCACTTCTATCTTACTACTTTTATAAACTAATACTTCTATAACCTCCCTAATGTCCCCCAACTACACTTCTCAATCCCTAGTAGCCACCATTTGTAATGGTGGTAATTATAATAATTTTTTAACTCCCACAAGTGAGTGAGAACATGTGATACTTGTTTTTATGTTCCTGATTTATTGCACTTAGCATAATGTCTTCCAGTGCCATCCATTCTTTTTTAATGGCAGAATAATATTACATTGTGCATATATCTACACACATTTTCTTTATCCATTCATCCATTGATGGATACGTAGAATGATTCAATGTCTTGGTGATTGTGAATAGCACTACAAAAAACATGGAAGTGCAAATATTTCTTTGATATACTGATTTTCATTCTTTGGATATATACTCAACAATGGGATTGCTGGATCATCTGTTAGTTATATTTTTATATTTTTGAGAAACCTCCATATTATTTACCATAATGGCTGTACTAATTTACATTTCCACCAAAAGTGTATGAGAGCTCCTGTTTCTCCTCATCCTCACCAAAATTTGCTATCTTCTGTCTTTATGTTAGTAGCCGCTCTAGCGGGGGTATGATGATGTTTTACTGTGATTTTGATTTACATCTCCAAGATAATTGGTGATTTTGAGCAAGTTTTTAATATACGTGCTAGCTATTTGTGTGTCTTCTTTTGAGAAACAGCCAATCAGACGTTTTGTCCATTTTAAAATTAGATTATTTGTTTTTACTGCTATTGAGTTGTTTGATTTCATTATATGTTCTGGTAATTAATCTTTGTCAGCTGAATAGTTTGAAAATATTTTCTCCCATTCTGTAGGCTGCCTCTTTACTTTCTTGATTGGTTCCTCTGCTGTGTAAAAGCTTTTTAGCTTTATGTGATTCCATTTGTCAGTTTTGGCTTTGGTTGCCTGTACTTTTGAAGTCTTACCCAAGAGATCTTTGCCCAAATCAATGTCCTGAAGCATTTCCCCAATTTTTAAAAGTAGTTTCATAGTTTCAAGTTTTACATTTTAATATGATTTTTTGGAAGGTGAGAAATAGGCGTCTAGTTTCCTTCTTCTGCATATGCATGTCCAGTTTTCCTAGCATAATTTACTGAAGACTGTCCTTTCCTTAGTGTATGTTCTTGGTGACTTTGTGAAAAATGAATTGACTGTAAATGTGTGGATTGATTTCTGTCTATTCTGTTCCTTTGGTTTATATGTTTTTATGCAAGTATCATGCCGTTTTGATTACTATGGCTCTTTGTAGTAGAATTTAAGTCAGGGAATGTGACTTAAGCTTTCATCCTTTTTTCTCAGGATTGCTTTGGTGGTTTCACATGAATTTTAGGATTTTTTTCTATTTCTGTGAAGAATGTTATTGGTAGTTTGACAGAGATTTCATTAAATCTGTAAATTGCTTTGGATAGTACAGACATTTTAGCAATATTTCTTCTTCATAAGATTTACTCCATTTGAAATTTATTTTTATTGATGTAGAGTTACATCAAACAAAACCACTGGCACTGGGAGCCAGGTGTAATATATTTTTAAAACTTTCCCAATTGATTCTAATTTTCAAGGAGCATAGAGTATGAATGTTTCATATAAATAAAAAATGGAAAGTTATGTAAATATAGAAAGTAGTGATTTTTTGTCAAAATGTTATTGATATTAGTATGTACATTTTTCTCTATTGTATAATTTTTTGGCTAAAACCTACAAGCTTTAATACTTAATGATTTCAGTATATTTTATACAAAACTTTTAGGTTTTCATTTTTAATTTTCTCATTGACAAAGTGTTTTTTAAGAGAAAGTCACCCATTTCCTAATGGTAGGTCCTTTTTGAAGTTATTTTCTGATTGTGTAATAGATTTTTTATTTTATTGCATCAAGAGCAGAATCAATGGTTCAATACTCAATCAATTATTTTAACACATTGGATTTTACTATTATTTTATTGTAATCTAATATTTGATAGGATTTCGAGAATGTTCTTTTGTCATTTGAAGGAGTGGTGTGTTCTTTAATATGATGGTTTAGTATTTAGTATATACATTGACCAAATGTATCTGATTTACTGTGTCATTTAAGGCTTCTATACCCTTAGTTGAATTTTGTTCAGTTGATATGTCCTGGATTGAAAAGAAAAATCTTATTTTGCTTGTTTGTGTGGTTTGTTTTGTTTCCTTTTCCTTTTGTATTTTTTAGTTTAATCATTTTTATTTGAAGTGTATTTAAAAAATCATAAATGGGGTTTCATAATCCAAAGTTGAAACATTTATTTTTCATAGCTTCAGAATTTGACAAGAAATTGTAGACCATGCTTTCCAAATCCAGTCTTCTTCACTATTTTTCAGACTTCTGAAATCCTGTATTAAACTGCTCCATTATAAATGTACAGTTGTTTCCTTTTCTTTATGAAAGTTTCTGCCTTGCTATGTGCTGCATATATATTAATAAATGTGATAAACTAAAAAGTATACCTTATACCTTCTTCATCTCATTTTCTGTGTTTTTGTCTGTATTCAACTTTATCTAATTTGAAAAACATAATTTCCTTTTTTCTTTTTCTTTATATTTGCCTAGTAGAACTTTTGTCATGTCTACCTACACTTTTAAATTCTTTATTTTCGTTTCTTAACAATTTAACTTTAGGGATACTTTTTGCTCTATGAAATAGACTGAGATTTTGTTTTGTGATCCAATCAGTAAGGAGTTATGTGAGATTATTTATAGATAGATATGAAAAAAGTTATGTTTTTTTGTCTCAGTGTATATTGTTATAAAATATATTAAAGTCTTTTACTACACATTATTTTTCTTCCTCAGTTATTCTGAAATTCAGAAAAATTTCTTTTAGGCTACGGTCATCTTAATATAATGTCCTTAGCTTCTGTTTCTTTAGGTAGTATCCTTTGGTTTCTTAGAATGAACAACCTGAAATGAGCTTTTATCCTGTTTTTAATACTTCCTACTCTCCTTTCCAATTCATTCTGTAAATCACCTTTCTTAGTATTTTCCTTTGTATTTTTAAATATTCTTTAAAGTCTAACACTTATTTTATTAATTTCTAGTGGGGTCTTTGAGTTTTCGTTATTATGAATGAGGCAATGAAAAGGCTTATTCCACATTTCATCTTTTAAACTACTTCCCCATTTTTGTTAGCTGAGTCATTTCTACCTTTACAGATAGCTGGCATTTAAAATTGTATTCAATCACTTCTTTTCCCATCTAAGTTTTTGTTTTGATGTGGCAGTTCTTTTGCACTCACCTTCCAGGAATCTCCGAAAACTCTGACCAATATTTTTTCATTTTTTTTATGTTCAAAACAATAGCTTTTGTCCTTTAGAAAGAGTTTCTTGGGACATAAAAATATGGGGCCCCACTTTACCATCCTACAGTACCTGTGAACAGTATTCACGAACTCTGCATTAATTATTACTGTAGAGAATTCAGACACATTCATGAATGTTTTCTTTGTGTGTGTAGTTACCTAAAGAATACATTATTTATCTATGAAGTCCAACTGACATAGGAGATCAGCATGTATTATTTCCCTGTTCTGACAGGATGAAATAAAAGAGAACTGGGCAAAAGCAGAAAATGGTGCTGAAGGCATATTGTATTTGCCCCTGATACTCATACCCCTAAGAAACTCCCACTAGTGCCATGACAGTTTACAAATGCCATGGAAATACCTATTAGCTACCATGCCTTTTCTAGAGATTTCAGAATAAACCACCTCTTAATTTGTGTATAATTGAAAGTGGGTATAAATATAGCTAACCAACAGCCCATATGCTGCTACTCTAAGTGCACTTTCCATGCTCCCTGCTCTGCATGGAGTAGCTACTGTGCTGTACACTGCCCCTTCAAAAAGCCTACACTCATCTACTGCTGGCTCACTCTTAAATCCTTTCCTGAGCAAAGCCAAGGATCCTCCCATGCTAAGCCCAAATTTTGGGGCTTTCCTGTCTTGCATCATCAGGTGCCCAACAAGAAAGCAAGAAGTGAGAGAGCAGCTGAGGCAGTGATCTGGCAATCAGTAAGATGGCAAGAGATGATGAGGCAGCAGTTGAAGCTACAGAGCTGTAACCTGAACTATGTAACTCTAAAGAGCTGCCAACACTGCAGAGCTGTATATTAACCAAAGGCTCTTCCGAGGGCCATTTATTTCCTGGCAGAATGACAAAACTCAGCAAATAAACAAGTGGTTGCAGTGCTGCCACTTCATGTGGGACCCACTGCTCTGGCTGGCAGGTCAATGGTCTATACATAGATTCCCTTGTGGCAGATGAGCCTACCCATATCAAGGGAACCCAGTGGAGACCTTTACTGGGACCCTAAGTTGGAGACTGGCCAGTGCCATTTTGACTCCTGCAGACAGGTGAGTTTTCCCCCCGGCCCTGCCTTTGATATTGAAGGAAACAGCATACAACCCCCACTGCTGCTTTGTTTAAGTCAATTTTTTTCTGGGGTTTCCAGACCCCTAACTTGACAGACGACTGCCTGCAGCAACAGACAGGTGGCCACCTAAACACTTTCTTTGGTGTCTCCATTTCTGGGTGTGTTCTCTGGTGGTTTGGGAACTACAGGGCACCCTTTGTGCAATTCTATTTACCCTTTCCTTCTCTTCCTTCATTAAAAAAAAATGAGATAAAAGAAGTTTTTAAAATCAAAATTACCATGATAACCACCTTACTCATTTTCTGGTCTATTTTCTGTTAGTTATTCCTTGGATTAACTAACAAGGCAAACAAAGTTTAGCCATGTAGACAGGTCTTAATCTTGTCAAAAATAATTTGAAATTCCGTTATTTTTTATAAAGTGGTGAGTTTATATTGCCATCTTATGACTAGAATTCTGAGGTAGATGCTATTGAACCTTTGTGTGTATGTATACACATTTAGGTATTTTTATGTGTATGTACGTGTATTATGTATTGTGTCTAGCATACTATCAAACTGCTTATAAGTAAGTGAATACTCATAAATTAAGTAAGCTCATATGCTTTTCTAGTTTATATGAATCTTGGGTAAATAAAATTGATTTTAAAATGATTGATAAAAATACAAATGTCTTCAGAAATACACAAATAAGACTAACTTAAGATTGTAGGCTCAATAAAGACAGCTGAATCTTCTGAGTTATTGACAAAATAGTCATATGTTCAACTTTAAGAGTCATACTTAGTGGTTTACCTAATGTTTAGACTTTAAAAATCATTAACGAGGATATAACTTTCAGTGATTATTAGCTTTGGCTAATATTGCATTTTTTTCATAAATAATTTCAGTAAACTCCTAAAAATTAATAATGATAAATTAGGTAAATGAAATGAGATAAATGCGTATAGATGAACTTTTTGTGTAATTTAAAATTTTTAATTTGTTTTAGATGCTTACTGAGTGTCTGGCTCATTGACACTTAAGAGAGGATTTTTATATGGGAAAGCTTCTTTTTTTAATTATTGAATGTTTCTTATCTATAAAATATTAACATCAGAAAGACAGTTAAAATTTCTTGTTTCCTAGGTTCATATAAAATGTGCCAAAGACAATGTGTTTTTATTGAGAAAAAGAACAATTTTTTCTATTTCAACATTTATTGAAGGTTGATTTAAATTATGGACTTTAAAAGATTATAAAACCAGGTAGAGTAGGGGATAGAAATGTGAAGAAAATTGTGGATATAAAGATGTGTTTTTGGTAAAGAAAGATAGAAATAAAAGAGTAATTTTAAATAAGAAAGTATCTTCTACAGTGACATGGTTTTGCTGTGTTCCTACCCAAATCGCATCTTGAATTGTAGTCCCCATAATCCCCATGTGTTGTGGGAGAGGGAGTTGGTGGGAGGTAATTGAATCACAGTGGTGGTTGCCCTCATGCTGTTCTCGTTATAGTGAGTGAATTCTCGCAAGAGCTGAAGGTTTTATAAGCCACTTTTCCCGTCTTTTGCTCATTCTGCTTCTCCTTGCTGCTGCCATGTAAGAAGGGATGTGTTTGCTTCCCTTTCTACCATGATTTTAAGTTTCCTGGGGCTTTCCCAGTCATGCTGAACTGTGAGTCAATTAAATCTCTTTCCTTTATAAATTACTGAGTTTTGGAAAGTTCTTTATAGCAGCATGGGAATGGACTAATACATATGGTAAGTTATTTTCCTAGAGTAAAATGACTGGTTATTAAGAGATAGTATAGGACAAGTCAGAAAGTCCAGGCATATCATAGATAACCTGTGTAAGTTCTGACAATGTTTGCGAAGGGCAATTTGTGAAGGAATTTTGTGTGTGATTAAGTTGACTGAAATTATAAGGGAATTGTTTTTGTTTTAATAGTCTTTGTAAAGACTGGTCTCCTATGTTAAAAACAAGGTTTCTCAACGTATTCTGAATGCCTGAGATGATAACTCTCTATTTCAGCTTTTTCATCAGCTCCTGAAATATTTTCCACTCCGATTCTAACTATTGCTATGGCCTGATGCTGAAATATTTTTATCTTAGAGGTCCATAAAAGCATTTTCTCCAATATAGCTTGGTTCTAGATTATTGGTTATTTGAGATGTGTACCTTTATTTTTGCATTTTAGATTTTGACTCTCATATTGCTTAAAAAGGATTTTAAGGGTTAATGAGTGCATTCCCACCCCCATTCTCATATGGCCTGGAAAGGTTAGTTGGCTATAAGAAACCTGAAGAACTAACTTAAGACATTACAAAAACAGGGGTCAGACATGCATCATTATGCTCCCCATTTTGGAATCCAGGCCAGGTTCAAAAGGCCCTTTGAAAAGATGAGATGAAATATTGCCTCCTCCCACAAGGGAAAGAATCAACTCCCCCATTCATCCAGGTAATTAAGCTTACTATAAACTTGGAAAGAAGTATCCCCTGAGGATTAATTTCAACCAAAATGGGAAGGCCCTTATCAGATATTATTAAATACTTCCACTACTGTTTAACTTCTGGGGATCACTAACTGGGCACATTTGTCCAGAATATATACATTTGCAAATTGGTGGAAGATCTCCACACCTATTTAAGATAACTAACATTCAGCCAGAAATGGTAAAATGATGCTGTGGGTAAGCATAAAAGCATATATTTTTCTGTTCTTTCTAATTGTAATTTTTCTATTCTACTGTTCTAGACAGTTTCTCCCTGGTAAAGACCTCTTTTATCCCTGCTGTCGGAATTCAGTAAATGGATTTCTAGTCAGTCTCTTGGATTTTACCTTTTCTAGGACCTTTAATAGCTATCTTGTTACAACTAATCATTAGTTCTTGCTTATTTAACCACTTAGTAAAATTTGTATCATCTACATCACAATTCAATGTAAAGACACTGCTGGCACAACGCTTCCAATGTGTCCTGTTTTCTGATCTGGAAGGCAGACATTCTGCCTTTGGGTCCCTTAGATCCATAATCCAAAGGTTTATACTCCTCCAGTGCTAGGCTGGGCCTACCCTCATAAAATCAGCAGGCAGCAGTTAGAGAAGACAGACCTTTGCCCTTCTACAACACTTTAAGATTAAAGAGGAGTATATAATCTGTGACAGGAGAGTGAGGTAGGAGACTGCCAGTACTTATTTCCTGTTCTTAACAGGATGAAATGAAGAAACCAACTGAAACCAACAAATGGTGGCAAAGGCATCCTCTCATTGCACTCATTGCTCATCAGCATAAGATCTTGTCACCAGCACCATGACAGTTTACCAATGCCATGGCAACACCTGGAAATTACCATGTCTTTTCTAGAGATTTCTAAATACCTTGCCCCTTAATTTCCATATAATTAAAAGTGGGTATACATATAGCTAGCCAATAGCCCATACACACAGGGTGCACTACCTGTGAGTTAGCCCGTCTCCACAAGAAACAGCCACTCTGCTACATACTGCCACTTCAATAAATCTGCTTTCTTCAACCATCAGCTTGCTTTTGTATTCTTTGTTGAGTAAAGCCAAGAACCCTCCTGAGCCAACCCCAGCTTTGGGGCTGCCCTGCTTTACATTGCAATAACTTCTTTTACATATTTAAATTTACATTTATATTAACTTGTTATTATGAGCCCTTCTGAGTCAACTTCACTTTGCATATTACATGAACATCTTTTAGATGCAAGGCTTCTTTCATTTCAGGAAAGATTCCTTAAATTATATATTTAAGTATTTTATTTTGCTTTATTATTTTGATTTCAGTTGGATATTCCTGTTAGGGACACATGGTATGTTATTCTCTTTACTCTGTTTTTTTTTTTTTTTTTTTTTTGAGATGGGGTTTCACTCTTGTCACCCAGGCTGTAGTGCAATGGCACAACCTCAGCTCACTGAAAACTCTTCCCCCTGGGTTCAAGCAATTCTCCTGCCTCAACCTCCTGAGTAGCTGGGATTACAGGCATCTGCCACCACACCTGGCTAATTTTTGCAGTTTTAGTAGAGATGGGGTTTCACCATGTTGGCTAGGCTAGTCTTGCACTCCTGACCTCAGGTGATCCACCTGCCTCTGCCTCCCAAAATGCTGGGATTATAGGCATGAGCCACTGTGCCTGGCCTGCTCTTCATATTTTCTTACTCTTTTGACCTTTATTTCTTTTTTAGCTTGTTTTTCTTTGTCAATTACATTGCTTGTGGTTTATAATGCAATATCTGTGGGATCTATTTTCCTTTGCACTCGTGTTAGTTTAGTATTCATTTCTCAAATTGCTTTTTTTCCCCGGTCTATTTCTTCAGTTCTATAAGTTTTCCTTTCACCCTCTCATTTGGCCTGTATACTGCCTCTTGTTTTCCGGTATTTCTATTTCTGATTTCCTGTCTTGGTGTTTGGTCTTCTGTCATAGCTAGAATTACTTCATGTACTTCAAAAATTAATATATAAAATTCATGTTAGAAATTTAATTTATGTACACTGCACACACACACACACACACACACACACACAAACACTCTTAGTGGCTACATTTTCTCCTAATTTCATTTCTCTTTCCTTACTTTGTATCTTCTGATGGTTACTGTCTTTAGTCGTTTTTATGGTAATACAAATATGTAAATGATATGATTTTTTGCAGAAATATCAAAGGCAGATGATCCCTATGCAAAAGGTTGAGAAATCAAAGAAGTTGTCACATTTATATCTTCAATGTTATCCTCCCCTGTAGATACAGGGATAGGTACTTCCTTAAGAATATGGTCCCCAGGTTGTAATCTCACTTAAGTACATTCTTTCTCCCACCAACATTCACCTGACTCCTTCCTTCACTGACTATTGCATCAAATAATAAGACCTTTCCTTCCTTCTCTCAGTCTTGGGCCTCTCTTAATGTTTTCTAATTCTAGCTCCTCTCATCATTCATCCTCTGTTCAATCCTGGGCCTGATCACAGAAGTGTTAGTCA